TTATGAAGAAATTCTTCAATATTACCTTGCTAGTAGTAAATGGCAACCAAGGTTATTACTTCAAAAAGGACCAAGAACAAGAAAAACAGCTATAAAAATTAACTATGAAGAAAAAGCAGATTACAGCATAAAAAAGGGTTCTAAGGCAAAAATAAAGTGATTTCCTTTTTGAAATGGCTTTTTAATAATCAAATGCTAGATTTGCTACAATTGAATAATAAATTTTTTTGGTTATTTATTCAATTATTTGGAAGTTCAAAACATTGGTTTGCATTATAAATTAATGCTGTACAGTTGTTACAAAAATCTGGATGGTCTTTTTACATTCTTAAAAGCATAAAGGATATAATGATTCAAACCATACATGTTAGCCAAAATTAATTCTATTGCCAAATTCAAAATGCCAAAATAGCTTTTCATAATAGCTGAAATTAATTTTAATAGTGGCCAAAATTGTGATCCAAAATTATTTGAATTCCTCGATTTAATAGCCAAAATTCTGGATAGTTTATTTATGATAATTAATATAGAGAATATGGAAAAGAATGTGGCCAAAATATACAATTTTTGGAATTCTTGAAATTTAAATCCAATAAATTTCGTGCATACATAAAAAAAGCCTTTTTCTGTATTCAAAAATTATAAATGAGTCAAGCTAATTGTTAAAATACTTATTATGATCTGATCCGATCTGGTTCTGTTCTGACTTGGAGTCTGAAACCTGATTCGAAATATCTTATAATAATAAAAATTGTTATTTTATGAATTAAAGAAACTACTCATGAATTAAGTAAGACTTTACGAAATTTTAATAAACACCCATCCTCCTTCACTTCAAAGAAGGAAAAGGCTACGATGAGGTTTAATAAAAGTAAGTCATTCTGATTTTGACATCTTTATTAATTATAATCCAGCAATAATCTCTCAAAGCAAGGAAAATTTCTGACAAGTCTTTGGATACCCTTGTGGTGGGAAAGTTCAGGGAGAAAACGTTTATTACAAAATCGGTAATCTCAAAATGAAAATAAAGAAAAAGAAAAAGTTGATGTAAGTTTATTTGATTATAATAGCGGTTGCAACTTTAGTATTCAGTATTATAGCTATGATTATTTATTACATTTCTAAAAAAAACTAAAAAGATAGATAATTTGCTATTTTACCTTGAAAAGATTTCCCCAATTTATGTTATCATAAGGTTTTTTCCATATTATTTTCTTCTTCCACTTTTTATTAAGCAATCGATTAGCTTCATTCTGTGTTCTTTTCCTATTGTTTATTATTTTTCTTTCCTCTTGTCAGTAAACTTCATAGGTAATTATTTCTTTCCTTAGATAATCTTCAAGTGCTTGAGTTTCAGTCAATTTAAATATGTAATGTTCTATTTTCTCATCTTGTTCTCTTTTTAAAATTGGGTTCCATGATGGTCAATATCTAATTAGCTTCATTTATAGATAATTTTGCAAATATATCTCCCAAAAGAAAAGTACTCGCCTAATCTGCACTTTTAGACTAATTATTCCATTTTTATCATATTGAAAATTAAAAAATTTAAAAAATGATAGTGGAGAAACGAAAATAAAACACATGGGCAAGAGACATTATAACATTACATACCAATATAATTGTGGTGGGTCTAATTTATCCAAATACATTATGTTGCATGATCGATGGATGTTAAACGCGTTTTACAATTTAACTTCTCGTTTTTTTTTTTTTTTTTTTTAATATTAAACCATACTATAAAATCATAAAAAGCAATATTAATCAATAAGCCTGATTTTTGCAATATATATTGTAATTATGAAGAAATTGATTGCACAGCCATGATATTGTGGCAAAGGTTAAAAAAAAAAATTTCGTTATATTTCTTGACGAAGTGGAAAAATTTTCTTAAATCTTTTAATTTCAATTAATCACAAAAAATGATTTTAATGACATTGAAATGCCTTAGATCTGGTGGAATAACATTTTTTGGTGGTGTGTCAGTTTTAGTTGCTACAATGATTGGACCAGGTCTAATTACAAGTGCGTATATAAATAATTTACAAATGTAAATTATATAGCATTTTTGAAAATATTTATCTTAAAATTAATTATTATTGTTATTATTTGATGAATATGTGGATAATAAATATAGTTCCATTATTGTTTCAATCAGCTGGATGGTTAACGTAAGTCATCAATTAATTAATCATACATTGATTATATAAATATATCATATAAATATATCATATAAATGACATGACATTGCTTGTTAGATCAATCTTAATGTTTATATTGGCAATATTTTTATCAACTACTGCTTCACTTGTATTATGTGAAGTGTTAAGTTCCATACCTGGTAACGAAAAATTTCAGGTAAATTGCAAAGCTAATAATACCTCAACATTTCCATCCATTTACTGATTATCCATTTATCTATCATTCTCCAAATTCTATATATAAAATAATTGTAGAAAAAAATTGAATATATACAATTATCAAATATTCTAATCAAGAATAAAATAATTTGTTCAATAATTCAAATAATAATTTTCTTGTCAATTGAATCAATCATCATCACTTCAATAATAATCTCGTCGCAGTCTCTTGATAAAATGTTTATAAAATTCGCAGGGAAAAGTTGTGGCATTGAATTGTATCCAAATTTGTTCAAGGCTATTTGTGTTAATGAGTTGACTTCCGAACAGAACAGTCCGTTCGGATCAAATTATATGTTGGTTACTTTTGGATTATTGGTAAGTGGACGGGGGATTTTTTTAATAATTTGAGTTGGATGGGGAGTTTTTTTTTTTTTTGTGGATATAGGAACTTATCGATATTATTTATGTAGTTAACATTTGGATTTGTTATACCAATGACATTATCAAGTTTATCTGAAAATGCCAAAGTACAAATATGTAATGATTTTATTTTAGTTAATTTACTTGTTTACTTTTGGAAAATACTTATTACATATATTTTTTTTTATTATAGTGGCAATAATATTATTATTTATAATTATGATTATATGGATAGTGGTATTTATTGTTAATGGATTAAATCATAATAATGTTCCATTAATTGGTAAAGATCAGTCTCAACTAGTTGGTACTATATTATTCAATTATGCATTTATTGTCTTTATACCAAGCTTAGTTAATGAACTGGTTAGTGTTGGTTCATTCTATAATTTTAGTTTTTTAGAGTATTATTTTGAACATAATTTACTAATTTAAAAAGTTTTCTTATCTCCAAATTTCCACCACCAAATAATCAGAACAGAGACGTTTCAATTCATAAAACAATAATATGCTCTGTACTATTTACATCATTATCATATATACTAATTGGAATAATGGGTTCATTGGCATTTGGAAAAATGAACCAGAACTCGAACATCATCAAGGAAATCCAAGATAATGATAATGAAAAATTGAAAAAAAATATTTTTATTGAAATCACAACTTATCTGTTCCCAATTGTTGGTCTATTAACTGCTATTCCTGTTGATGCCATCATCATAAAATACAATTTAATTGAATCTGGGATATGTAATAATAGTAAGTTTTTTTTTTCAATTAGTGAAGAAACTCTATTTATGTTTTATTATTTTGTCAATTATAAATAACTGGTGATATTATTCCTACACGTTCGTCCCGCCTATTTTACCACAGTAATATCTTCAATACTTTCGACATTATTTAGATGGCTAGTGGTTATACCATTTCAAACTGGTATCTGGCTAAATATACTTATTAATTGGTCAAGTTTATTATTTATTAGTACAGCAAATTTTATTATACCATTTATATTATATTATAAAAGTTATAATTTAAAAAGATATTCTTCAAGAATAACATTTTCTTTGCCTTCTCCTTCTACAACAACTTCTACAACAACTTCAAGTAATGATAATAACGAATTAGGATTATCATCAAAGTTAAAAGAAACTAATATGAATTTAGAGAGTTCAGATATTGGAAGAAAAAAACGTTTAAAAAGATTTAAACATATGTCTTCTGATGCCATTCTATTGGATAAAATACCTGATTTTGTCACAAATAATGAAGATAATAATGACGAGGAAATATTGAATGAAAAAAGCTCATCACCGCCAGAATTACAGCAATCGCCGCAATCGCCACAATCACCACAATCACCACAATCACCACAGTTACCCTCAATAATTAGAAAAAATTCTTCGGGCGATAATTATGAAGAGTTATCTTCCTCGACAGTGTTTCATTCTTTATCAA